GGGACCCACATCCATCTCCCCCACAGGATACCCCCAGTGGGGACCTCCTTCCTGCTCCCCAAGGGGGGATCCCTTCTCCCATGGGGAACCAGATTCACCTCTCCTAAGGGACACCCCTAATGGGAACTTCCTTCCTGCTCCCCAAAAGGGGATCCCTTCTGCCAGGGGGATCCACATCCACCTTTCCTGAGGGGCACCCCTAATGGGAACTTCCTTCTTACTCCCCAAAGGGGGACCCCTTTTTCCCAGGGGGACATCCCTAGATGTGGATCTCCTTCTTGCTCTCCATAGGGGGAATCCCCTCTCCCAGGGGACCCACATTCACCTCTCCTGAGGGACACCCCTACATGGGGACCTCCTTCCTGCTTCCCAAGCAAGGATCCCTTCTCCCAGGGGACCCACATCCACCTCCCCCATGGGACACCCCCAATGGGGACCTCCATCCTGCTCCCCTAGGGGGGATACCCTCTCTCAGAGGACCCAAATCCACCTTTCCCGAGGGGCACCCCTAAATGGGGATCTCTTTCCTGCTCCCCAAAAAGGGATTTCTTCTCCCAGAGGGACACCCCAAAATGAAGATCTCCTTCCTGCTTCCCAGGCAGGGACCCCCTCTCCCAGAGGGACCCACATCCACCTCCCCCACAGGATACTCCAAATGGGGATCTCCTTTCACCTCTCCAAAGGGAAGATGCCCTGAAATGGGAACTCTTCCAGGAGAATTCCATGCCCAATTCTCTTGGGACACCCTGAAAAGGGACATCTCCAAGAGGGAGAGCTCCTTCCACCTCCTCATTGGGACTACCTCCAGAGGGAATATATCCAGGAAGGACCCCTATCCACCTCTCCAAGGAGATCCTCAGCAAATGGAGGATATTCCACCTCTTCATGGTGACTCCCTCCAAAGGAATTCTCTCTGACAGGGACCTGTATCCACCTTTCTAGGGAGATCTGCATCAAATGGGGGACCCTCTCCCACCTCTTCACATAGGGAACCCCCTCCAAAAATAATCTTTTTAAAGGGGACACCTCCAAGTGGGAAGATCCCTTCTGCCTCTCCAGGAAATGACCTCCCAAGGAGGGACCCCACTGGGACCTCTCCAAGGGCTCCTCTGCATCCTGACCCTCCCTCTCTCTGTCATCTCCAGGCTTCTTGATCTCCAGGTGCTGCTTCCCCGTCTTCAAAGCCAAGCCTGGCAAAGCCAAGAGGGTCAGGACCATCTTCACCAGTGACCAGCTGGCCCGGCTGGAGAAGGAATTCTCACGGCAGCAGTACCTGGTGGGCACGGAGAGGGGCCTGCTCGCCTCCTCCCTGCACCTCACCGAGGAGCAGGTAACCCCCCCCACCCTCCAGCTCCACCTGGGAGGCTCCCAAACCTCTGTGCCAACGGGTGGGACCTGGGATGTGTCCCTCAGACTGCAGCAAGGGGCCTTGTGGGGTGGTGGTTGCAGAGAGTTTGGATTAAAAATGTGGAGGATGCCAGGTGGGGAAACTGAGGCACGAAGGGTTGTCCAAGAGCCACGAACTTGTGTCCCTCTTAAGGCTGGACCTTCTCCACCAGTGGTAGGTCCAGCTCCTGTGGTGCAGGGGGCAGTTCTCCAACTTGCCTGAGCCTGGGGGTTCAGCAGGTTGTGGAGAAACCAAGTTTGAAAGCCCTTCCCAAAGTGGGAGGGAATTGGTGGAATCACCACCCCTGGAAGTGTTCAAAAACCACGTGGATGTGGCACTTGGGGACATGGTTTAGTGGTGCTGGGTTAGTGGTTGGACTTGGTGGTCTTTGAGGTCTTTTGGTCTTTTCCAAACGTAATGATTCCATGATTCTCTGATTCCAAGGTGAAAGTCTGGTTCCAAAACCGCAGGATCAAGTGGAGGAAACAAAGCCTGGAGCAGCAACAAGCCAAGCTGGCCAAAATGGGTTTGGCCACCCCACAGGGCAGCCCTGACTCTCAGAGCCACCATGGCGAGGAGGACAAGGACTTCCCAGCAGAGTCAGAGGATGGACAGGAGGACACAGGGACAGGACCTGCACAGACTGGGACAAAGAGCTGCTGAGTGGCCCCACGGGGCCCTTTCTCCACGTGTATTATATGACTGTACCATAGCTGGCCATATCTAATATATACAGGATATATACAGGGCACTCCTTGGGCTGGGGGGGGGTGTGTGTGAAAATAAATTATTTATGCAATTTTTGGGCTCATGTTTGCAGAAGGAGGAGGAAAGGGAGGAGGGAGAACAAGCATGCCCACAGTGGCAGCGAGTGTTCAATGAGGGCAACTTTATGGGAGAAAAATTTGGGGGAGTGGGGGTCACCTGCACACCCCCACCCACAGATTATCCCAAAGGTGTTGGGAGCTGGGATATCTCGGAGATCAGGACCTTCACAGAGCACCCAGGTCCTTGCAGAGGACGTTCCTCTCATAGTCCATCCATCTCCCTGCCAGTGGCATCTTCACCATAACCAGCTCTGCCCACAGCTCACATGGCCCACCCAGCACTGGCATCCCTCTCTCCAGGGATTTTGGAGCCAGGACAATGGGGAAAACACACCTGGAGAGCAGAGCTGGTGGGAGCTTTGCGAGTTGGGCACCAAGGGGTGACATCTCAGCTGGGCAAGGATTAGCCAGGGTTTGATTTTAATTGCTTTGCCCTGATTAGGCAGAGGTAGAGGTTTCTAATCCAGCAGTTCTGGGATGGACACTGGGCTGGGGATGAGCCAAAAGTGGGATTTGTGGGAAGCTGGGGAGCTGCTTGAAGGATGAAAAGCAGGTGAGCACCAAGGGCCTGGGATCTG